TCTGCTTGAGGTGGTTCCTTGGAGGCTGCAGTGTGCAGTTGCCCGGGGCCTTTCAGGAGTGGGGGACGCTGTAGCCCGTGGCGCAAGCCATGAGGAAGACCCTAAGGGGGCGCTCCTCCGAGATGTCCTCTCTATGGGAACCCTGAATCCCATCTTCTATCCCCTTCCTGGCTCGGAAACGAGGAGGGAGCGGCTTGCTCAAGGTCCCGCTGCAACCAGCCCTCCACAAGGCCCCTGCCCGAGGTCGGCTGCCTTTTCCTCCACCACGTCTGCTCCTTTAGCCCCCAAGATGTGCCCGGAGCCCAGGAAAAGTCCTAATGAGACCACAGAAAGGCCCTGCAAGCCCCAGTGGGTTCCTGTCCCCTCCTCCTGCCTCCTCCATCCCAGTGACCGTCATGGGGTCCCCTCCCTTCCGATTTCCCAGGTCCCTCATGCCACTTTGGGCAGGGCGGGAGGAGGTAGACATGGAGCGATCCCCAAAAGCAGCAGTCCGAGCACAGGCAGTTTCTTCTGGGGTGAGGCTGTCTCAGCCCCCAGCCTGCTTGTGCTTTCCCTCGGGCCCTCAGCTCCTCCGTCACCTTGAGCAGGTTTGGCCCTGCCTCCAAGTTCCTGCGGAGGTCTCCCCCATGGCACCTGGGGAGGCCACCCCCGGGACCCCTCCTCTGTGCCTTTGTGGACTCAGCTGTGCAAAGCTCCATCCCCAGTAGAGGGAGAATGCAGCTCCTGGCCTCCCTGGCTCAGTTTCCTGGCCAGGGTGAGCCCACCACGCTGCCACCTTCCTCTGCCTCCTCCCACGAGGCCCTTGGGACCACCCTGGGCTGCCGGGGGTCACACACACAGGCCCTTGGTCTCCAGGGCCTGAGGAGGGGCGCCCATTGCTGCAGCCCAATTCAAGGCCCCCTGCTCCCCAGGTAGAGCCTGCTAGGGAGAGCCTCCTGCCTAGATCGTCCCCTCTTAGTCTGGAGCTAATTTTTTTTGTTTTCCCCTTTTTAGGCCATGATTTCTGGAGAGCTCGACATTCTCAAAGATTGGTGCTATGAAGCTGTGAGTACTTCTTTCTTTTTATTTTTTCTAGTTAGGCGTAAAAAGAATCACAGCTTGGAGATCTGCTTGGGCAGCCCGGTCTGAGAAGGGCATGACGGGGTCTGGTGTCCTGATTGTGGGGGGACCCTGGGGGCCGGGGCTGGGCGGAGAGGGGTTGTGTGACCTTCCCATGTCTGGGCCAGAGTCCATCATCACGCCCATGTCACAGGCATCATAAGGGTACAGTGCGAACACAGGCAGCATTTGCAGGACACAAAGCACTGGCTGGACTCATTAGCTGTCCTCACTTTGAGTTCCCGAAACACAGATCAAAACAGATGGTGATAGATTTCCCGCATGGGGAGGAGCCGTGTCCTGACGAGGCCTGACTGCTCCCCGGAGTCAGGGCTCAGGGTCCCCGGGCTGCACGGCGCCGGGCTATGGATGACCGGTCAGCACCCCTCAGGAGCACACCCTGTCTTCCTCAGAGCCTGGCAGCCTCCCCGTGCCTGCAGGGCTCTGGCCGGCCACCGCGTCTCACCCGCTCACTCCCTGACTGTCTTCGTGGGTTTTTTTTTTTTTTTCTTTTTCCAAGCTTATTTGTATTAAGCAATCCAGAGCCTTTTTTGGCTGACTCTGTTCTGCTTCTAGCTCACAAACAACTTGGAGAAAGCAGAGGAGAAGATGTCGGATTTTTTTTTTAAATACTCCTCTGCATGGTGACTAATCCAACAGGCATTTGTGAGTGGTGGTTTTTTTTTTTTTTTTTTAATACTTTGGGACCATTAGGATGTGGTTGATTATCTTTGCCAGAGAGCTGCTGGTGCCCCTGGAAATGCACTTGAAATTGCAGGTGCTCACACAGAGGTGTTTTTAAATGTCATTTTTTAAGAATCACACCAGAAATGGGAGCGGCAGCATTTGTTTTCTTGGTAGATCAGTTATTTCCATAAAAAGTAGTTGTGATTGGAATGTCTTCCATCATTGTTGCTGAGTCCAGAGAAGCTTCTGGAGGAAAGCTACAAGGCTGCACATGTCCTGGGCCTGGGAGCTGGCTGAGGGGGGTGAGGGGTGTTATGTGGGGTGCGCTGCCCCTTCGGAAGAACGGGCTGCCTGCGGGCAGCAGCTTCCTGGAGCAGCTGGTCAGCGAGGAGGAGGCACCCCAGGCAGCTCACTTCAGAGCAGCCATGGATTAGGGCAAATCCTAGAAAACGCGTTTGATTCCAGGCCAAGATTCAGAGTGTGGTGAATATGGGCAAGTCCAAGATCAGCCAGAGAGGCCTCAACTTACCCCTGGGGGTGTATTTCAAATCCTGTGGCAAGAAAATTACCAACTGTCCCAATGATACCCCTTTCAGTCCGTAGTCTTGATGCAGTGCTACCTTTATAACGAGGGAGGGGTGTGTGATTCAGGCCAGCAAACGGGTGGCACCAGCCCGCTTGCTTGGACCCGTGCTCCTGGCATCTGCCACTCCTGGCATAGCACACCCCGGCGCCAGGAGCCGTTTATGGACGGTACGAGGGCTGAAAGCTCGGAGCTCGGCTGGCAAGCCGGCCTGCAAGGAGAGCCTCCCAGGACCGTGTGCCTGGCCCCGCGGTGCGCCGGCCTTGGTGGTGCGGTGCCCGGGCGGGGCTTGCGTTCCAGCCTGCGTGCGTGCGGTCTCAGGCGTGCGTGTGTGCATGCGTGCAGCCCCAGGCGTGCATGTGTGCGTGCGTGCGGCCCCAGGCGTGCGTGCGTGTGGCCCCAGGCGTGTGGCTTCTCATTGCAGACCTACAGCCAGCTGGCTCACCCGATCCAGCAGGCCAAGGCCCTGGGCCTACAGTTCCACTCCCGCATCCTGGATATCGACAGCGTCGATGTGAGTATCTCTCCCGGGGGGTGTGCTCGTCACAGGGGCACCCCGTCCCTGCAGAAGCCCTGACATGGCCAGGTGCTTGGGTTAAGGGACCTCCAGGGCCCTTTCAGCGGAAGCCCAGGGTGGGAGAATTCTTAGGTGGCAGACGCAGGGGGTGCTGCTGCCCAGACCCTCAGGGCCCCCAAAGGCAGTATTGTCCCTGCGCCTTTACCGGGAAGGGGGGCGCTTTGTTAGGCCTGCTCAGGCCCCGACGGTCCCTATGGGGAACTGGAGACACGCCAGCGCGCGCTTCCCTCTACCCCTGCCTGTGTACACGACTGGCCCCTTTGCGGGGCCTTGATGTGGCCGCCCAGCCCAGGTCTGGGGAGGCTGCATGGGTTCTTAGCAGTTCAGACAATGGCTCACATTAGAAAGGGTCTCATGGGAATCTCCCACCTGGAAACGGAGGACTGGACTCCTCAGCCTCCTTCCGGGGCCTGGCCCAACAAGGGGCACGAGGGGAGTGCTGGGGCCGCTCCCTGGGAAGCGGGGATCTGCACCAAAGGGGAGCAGCAAGGAAGGGGAGCAGCAGGGAAGGGGTGTGGCCACTCTCCGAGCCCCCTCCCCCCCCCACTGCAGTTGGCCATGGGCAAGATGATGGAGCAGGGGCCCGTGCTGATCATCACCTTCCAGGCCCAGCTGGTGATGGTGATCAAGAACCCCAAAGGCGAGGTGGTCGAGGGTGACCCGGTGAGTGCGGGAGGAAACGGAGCAGCACGGGCGGGTGGCCATCTTCAGCTGCCTTGCACTTTGGAGCCAGGAGGTTTTGTGACTGTGCAGAAACAGCAGGGCGGGGCCACCAGAAGTCTAGGGTCCCAGTCGGGCCTGGTGGAGGTCAGAGGGTGACTGACCTGTCTGGTTGGGCTAAGTCCTGAGTTGCAGCCTCTGGAGCCCAGAGCCAGGCTGACACCCCCGGCCCCACTCCCTGGTCCCTCCTGGCGTCCCCTCTGTGTTCTGCCCTGCTCCTCTCGACAGCCCCTTGTCCCCAGCCCTCACCTTCCCCACCTCGGCAGGACAAGGTGCTGCGCATGCTGTACGTGTGGGCGCTCTGCCGAGACCAGGATGAGCTCAACCCCTATGCAGCCTGGCGGCTTCTGGACATCTCCGCCTCCAGCACAGAGCAGGTCCTCTGAGCACGGTGGCCACGGCCGGGGGCTCCTGGGCTGGATCAGCACGCGATGGACACCCAGAAGACTGGTGTCTGCCTGCAGCAGCTAGACCTCTGGGGACAGGACTGTTGGTTCTCTTCCAGGGCGGCATGGGGAAGGGCGGGCAGCTGCTGGGGGCTTCTCCCCACAGTGCTAGCCCCTGCGCTGCCCCTCGGCCGTGAGGGGCTGCTGAGCGAGGTCACTGCGGTGCACAGACCGGATGGTGCCAGCGGGCCCCTACCCAGGGACTCTCTGGAGGCAGGAGGACAGGGCCCAGGCCCCCGCCACTCAGAGTGACCCACTGGCCACTTCAGCCAGGCCATTTTGGCTCTGTTTTTTATTTTAACAGTGCCCTTATTACCCCTGTATATATGCCTGAGATTTGGAAATAATAAACCACCAAAGTGCAGGAGAGTAACTTGAGTGGTCCGAGGTGTCTGTCACTAGGGTGGGGTGGGAGCTGACCAGGAGGTCACAGGGAGGTGGTCAAGGTCACTGAAGGAACTGAAGCCCTGGAGGGGGCAGCCTTGCCTGGTCAGGACCCTGCCCGCCCTTGGGCGGGGGCAACCGAGACAAAAGCTAGGGAGCTTTCAATAGCCTGGCTGGGGTCTCGGAGGGTTGGGGTTCCTAGAGCTGGAGGAGCTTTAGCGCCAATACGAGTGATTTTTGGAGGCATTGGGATCCGCCCGCGCAGGACGTCTGGTCGAGGGGTCTATCGCAGAGAATGGGGGGAAGGTGCGGAAGTCGGGCTGGGGTGCTGGTGGGGTGGGCGAGGTCCTCGGTGCTGAGGCTCCCCGTGGCCGCGGTCTCCCAGGCGCCTCCGGGTGGGAGCTCCGTCCTCCCCGAGGCCGGGGCGGGGTCGCGAGCCCGCGCACCGCTCCCTGCGCAGCCTCCGCCCCCCGCGGCGGCCCCGCCCCCGTCGCCATGGGAACAGCCGCGGCGGCCCGGCTAGCGCGCGGCTCGCCTGCCTCGGTCTCCAGCGCTCCAGGGGCGGGTGGGGTGGGCTGAGCCCGGGCCGCCGCCGTCGCCGCCAGCCGCCGCCGCCGCCACCGCTACCACCGGGGAGAGGCCGAGAGCAGAGCCGGCGCGGGTCCCGGAGCAGAGCGCAGCCACCGGGAGCTCGGTCCCCGTCCCGGTCGAGGCCAGGGTGAGGGGCGCGGCGGGGTGGGGGTAGTGGGGGAGGGGGTCCCCGGGACGCCGAGAACAAAGGGAGCGGGGCGGGGGACAGGGTTTCACCGCTGCGCCGCCCGGGCTGCGCGTTCGCACCTGTTGTGCGCGGGCCGGCCGGGTCCGGGCTCCCTCTCCCCACTCTCAGCGCCCCCACCTGCACGCACGGCCGGAGTTGGGTCCCCGCGAGCCGGGCTTGGGCGTAGCCGGGGGACAGAGGCGCGGGCGGGGGCTGTATCCGGGCAAGGTCAGGGGGCGGTGGCGGGAGGGGGCGGCGCAGGGGCGGGAAGGGGCAGCCTCATCCCGCCGCCCCCGGCCGGCCCTTCCTCCGCAGGGCGCGCGGCGATGTGAGCCATGAGCGCGACGTGGACGCTGTCCCCCGAGCCGCTGCCGCCGTCGACGGGGCCCCCGGTGGGCGCGGGCCTGGACGCGGAGCAGCGCACGGTGTTCGCCTTCGTGCTCTGCCTGCTCGTGGTGCTGGTGCTGCTGATGGTGCGCTGCGTGCGCATCCTGCTCGACCCCTACAGCCGCATGCCCGCCTCGTCCTGGACCGACCACAAGGAGGCGCTCGAGCGTGGGCAGTTCGACTACGCGCTGGTCTGAGCGGTGCCCGGCCGCTCTCCGAGGGGCCGACCCGACGGGGGCGCCGCCTGGCAGGGATCGCGCTCAGGACCTCTGCCCCAGCGCCTAGCCCGAGGAAGGAGGCCGTTAGAGGTCCGGCCCCTCCCCCTCAGACCCCTCCCATCTTTCCTCCCGGCCTGGCCGGAGCCCCACTTCGTGCCTTTATCCCGCCCCTTCCTCGCTCCGTAACTCGCCGGCTCGGCTGGCCCCCGACTGGGAAGAGGACCCCCACCCCCACCCCAAGGCGTATAGGTGGCTCTGCTATTGTCCTGCCGCCAAGCATGAGTGTCCTGTCCATTCCTGGATGCGGGGGACCCCCGTGTCCCCCCTCCCTCCCCTGTGGTCTGGCCATCCTCACTCCGCCCCCGATCCCCCCTTAGTGTTGAGCTGCTCCTGCGGGGCAGGCTCTCCTGCGCCCATGGGGTGGACGCTGCATACCCATATGCCCTGCGCGGCCTGCCCCGGAGACCGAGCCTGGAGAGCACCAATGGCTGTTGTGTCCAGGACGCGCGGCGCCTTCGGTGGGAGGAAGAGTGCGGGCAGGTTCTCCCCAGTACAGGTCAGCGCCCCTCCCTGGCCCTCCTGCCGCTTCCCCCTGCCCCCTTCTCGCATCCCGCCGCCGCCGCGGCCTTCCCCATGCCTTCCCCCTCCTCCCTGCCTCTGAGCCGATGGTGTCAATAAAAGCTATCACTGAGCGCTTACTACATGCCAGGCGGCGCGTGAGTTAGCGCATGCTGCGCATGACCTGTCCCCTCTGCGGAACCCAGAGTGAGCCCTCTTAGCATCGCTGTTCGCCCCCAGGGAATGGAGGCCCAGGCAGCCTGAGGGACTAGCCTGTACTGTACTGAAGGGCGGGATTCCAGCCTGGCTGGGATTTGAACCCAGGTCTGACTTCCACATGCTCTTAATGGCTGCCCCATGCTGCCAAAACACGCAGGCCGCATTCTGGGGGACTGATGGGTGAACTAGCTCCCTTCGGCAACGCGCATCGCCAAGGTCCGCCCCCACTTCTTTCCCTTAACCTGGGGAGACTGGAGGCTGTGGAATAACGGGACTAAGTGGGGCTGGAGGGGGGTGGGGGGGCCCGCTCAGCCAGCCCTGGAGGGTGCCACCAAGACGTGGCATGATCTCCTGACACTGACCACATCTGCTCCCCCAAACCTCTCTCAGCGGGGTTCCTCCGGCCCACCGTCCACACGCGCACTTTGGAAGCCGGGGGACGGGCAGCATGGACTGGGCTGGCTCTGCTCCACAGCCCCCGCCCAGGAGCCTGTTTGTACCCTGGGGAGCCGTGTGCAGTATGTGGGGGAAAGCAGGCGCTTCTATAAAAGGAAGGCTGTGTGAATGCACGGGCTCTGCGAACACATCTACCAGCTCCCAGAGGACTAGTTAGGCTGGGGGGGGGGCTGTGGGAGGACACCTGGCTCCCCTGCCGTGCCCTCCCCAGCCTCCCCCTGAATCTACACCCTCAGGCAGGCTGATGAAGGGGGACCCCTTGCAGGGACACCCCGCCACACTCCTGGGAATTCGGAGCCTTTGGCAGCAGCCAGGACCCTTCCTCTACCCAGCTCAGCTCCTCCATCCCTGCCCTTCCTTGCTTCGCTGGGGGGTGGGGGGGATGACTTGCTCTCCCCTTACCCTTGACCTGTACCTGGGGCCTGGCTCCTCCCACCTGGCGACCCTCTGCTGGCTTCTCTTCTCATCACCTGTGTGAGGAGAGGTCACCTGCGCCGAAAACCCTGCACTCAACATCTGTCAGGCTCAGGCCTCATCCTCCACACAGTCCCTGAGGGTCCCCTTCACGGCCAGACCAAGGTCACTCCAGGTGGCATTGAACCAGACCTGGCGGCAGCGGCAGCCTTTACTAATGACTGTGCCTTCCCCCCCACATGCTCCCCCTTCAGGCCTGGGACCCCAAGCTCCAGCACTCCTACCTCTGACTTCTCCTTCTGGCACTTTGGGCCTCCACTCCCGTCTTTAACTCACAGGAAAAAGGGAGCAAGACAGATTGGCAAGAAGTTTACTCACAGGACATAGGATACAGGATGTTGGAAGGGACAGGAGCTGGGGAGGGGGACTGGCTGCCCCCACCTCAGTTCCATGGCCAAACCCCTGTACAACTGTGCTTCTGTTTCGGAGACCCCTGCCGTGTTGGTCATCTTCAAGGCCACCCCCTGCTGCCCACCATGTCAGGGACCTTCCACCGTGGCTGGGTCCTCCTGACAACCCAGGACCAGCCCGGGCAGGACTGAGGGCCAGGGGGCTCACAAATGTCTGGTGTGTCTTCCACCTGCCAGGACTTCACCTCGCAGGGCTGGCTGCCTGGCCCAGAAATTCCAGGGGCACCAGGAATGGGTTCAGGGGGCAGACCCCAGCTGCTTGCCAAGCAGACCTTGGTTCACTGGGCCCGGCATTCTCCGGAGCCAGGGGCACGGCCTGGCTGGCCTCCTCTCGCCCCAGGGAGCTTGTCCCGGCATCCTCAGCTCCGGGCGCCAGGCCCTCCATGGCTGGGTCCGGCTGAGGGCCTGTCAGGTGCACATACATATCCGACATGTGTTTAACCAGGGCATTGCAGGGCAGGCGGAGGAGCTCCTCGGGAAGTGCCAAGAGCAGGTCGAGGACCACCGCCGCCTCTGGTGATGGACACAGAGGTGTGGGGTGAGGGCAGGGCGGGCCTTGCTGCCCGGGGCTCACTCCCTCCCAGCCCCTGCCCGTTATTCTCACCAGCTGCAGAAAGCTCAGGACCATGGCACCTGCGGGAGATGGACGACAGATACTTGTAGATCTTCTCAAAGTCCACGGAGAAGTCCTCTTCCACCGAGGGCTCAGCCAGGGATGCACAAGGCGCCTCGGGGGCGGGGCCATTCGCCTTAGGGGCGGGGCCCGGGGTGTCAGGGCTGGAGTCCTCCCGCCCTCCAGAAGCACTGAGCAGCAGTAGCTTCCCACGCGCCTGTGTGGGCTTGGGGGGCTTGGAGTGCAGGAGGCTGACGGGCTCGGTGGCCGCGATGGTGAGTACCTGGCAGGAAGAGAGATCAGGGAAGAAAAGGGGGAAGTCCTCCCATCGGCCTCTCTGCTGCCCTGCACCTGGCTGAGCTCTCCACCTCCACCTGCTCACCAAATCCACCCTGTTCGACGTAACACACGGGAGCTGTCGGAAGCGGGGTCACTGAGGCTCAGGGTGTTCGGTGACTGGCCAGTGTCACAGAGCTGGCAAGAGGAAGGGCCCCGGAGCCAAGTCCCCCTAATTTAGACTTATACATAACACCCCCATGCTGCCTGCGGGATGGCTGTACCTGTGAGAAAGCCACAGTCAGGGCCTCCTCCAGTGGGCCTGTTATCTTCTCAGCCAGATCCATCCATACCTAGATGGGGCGACCAGAAGGCACACGGTCAGCCTAGGGACCAACCCTCGAGGGTCTCCAAGCCCTGCCCCTCCTGGGGATTCCCCTGACCAGGTCATGCCCCCCAACACCCGCCCCAGGGCCCGGTCTTGGCGGGCCTTGTCCTGCCTCACCTCGATGGGGGCCGGGGTCTGTGTTTCCCGGCGCCTCGGACCCTGCGGGCCACCGGGATGCACCCTCTGAATGGCCTCCCGGACCACGCGGCCCTTGAGCTGCCGCAGGAAGTCCCGGATCTGGAGAAGAGGAGGAGGCCGAATGGGCCTTCTACACGCCCAGGGTTGGGGAAAGAGGCCAAAGCCTATTGCCGGCTCCAGGACCGGCACTGCTCCCTAGCCTCCCGCTACCCCAGTGTTACAGGTCTCAGTGACTCTGCCCCGGGGCTCGGGCCCAGGCCCCAGGTGTGACCAGCCACCCCATAAAGGTGTAAGGCCGGTTCTGCTTCCTCCCCGCAGCCAGGGCCCACCCTCTGCTAAGTACTATCCTGTTCACCGCCCCGCTGCACCCACTTGGCCCCGTTTCTTGGCTCTCACTTCAGCTTCACTGCCCTTTCCGCCCTGACCCGGGCCTCCACTCCGTCTAATTCGGAGTCCGACCGACCCCTCAGCCTCTCGCACGCGCGGCCTCCACCTCGCCCCGCCCCTCAGCCTCATGTATGCCCCGCCCACCCCCAGCCTCCCTCCCAAGTCCCCCCGCCCCCACCCCGCGCTCGCCCCGCCTCCCCGCCCCTCAGCCGCAAGTCTGCCCCGCCCACATCCTAGCCGGGCCTCCAGCCGCGCTCCCTTCCCAGGACCCCCTCACCTCCGCCTCGCTGCGGCCCGGCAGCTCCCGGGCCAGCTCAGCGGCGTCCGGCTCCGGCTGGCCCTGCCGCGCCTGCAGTAGTCGTAGCAGCTGCCGTTTCTCGCGGGCGCTCCAGGCCGCGGGGCCGGTCACCTCACCCAGGTAGCGCGCCGGGGCCGCTCGCCGCCGCTGCGGAGGCTTCATGCCGGCGAGGGCGGTGTCGGCGTTCCGGGCCCGTTTCCCTGGTAGGCGGGGTTACGGAGGCCGCTGGGGTCAGAAAGCACCGCGCGGAGGCAGAAACAGATGGGGGCGTGGCTCCGCGTTTGCGGCCGAAGAGAACCGTTTAGATGGGAGAAAATGGAGAGATCGGCATGCGAACAGAGGTGGGAGCGCATGAGACACCCCACCTGCCTGCATTTTATCTCCTCCGTGAACTGGAGCCGAGACCTTACATCTCCTGCCCTCCCTCCATTCCGGGACTGAGTCTTGGGAAACTCCTACTGTGTGCTTTGTTTCTCCAAAACGAGTGGACCCTGGCAAGAAGGCAGCTGTTCAGTGGTAGCCAAGAACCTGGGCTGTGGGGTTTGGCCAGCCCTGAGGACCTAGAGCAAGTGATATGGCCGAGCCGAGCCTCAGTTTCCTCATTTGTGGAATGGAGCTAGTAGTCCCGCTCGAGGGAAGGGAGGAACTCGGACAGGAGACAGTTAAGAGCTCTAGACTAGACAGAGGGCGCTGGAGCAGAGACCAGAGGTCAAGGCCTTAGCGAGAGCAGGCTCCATCCAGGGTGGGGGTGGAGAGCGGAGAAAGCCTGGCTTTGGGAAGACCGCCGGAGGCAGGAGGGCAGGTGCAGGGCTTGAGGAAGGAGGCGGAGCTTATTAAAACTTAAGCACGTGGGGTTGGGTGTCCCTTTCTGTTTGGGAAAAACTCCCTTGGGTCTCCTCTGGCCTCCATCTGCACACGTATACATGGGCGTGTGAGCCCGGCCCCCAAGTCCTGATCCAAGGCCTCTGCTTCCTGCCCCCTATACCCGCGCCAGGCTCACACGCAGACTTGAGAACTCAGCAGGTCAGACCAGATGTTTATTTTGAGCCCAGGTGGGAGGGTGCGTGGAGGAGCGCAGCGGGGGCGGGAGGGTTCGGGGCAGAGACAGTGGTCCCGTCGGGTCCGAGGTCGGCCGCGGCCGGTGCAGTCCTGGCGGGCCTGGTTCGGGGTGTCTCGGGACCTTGCTGGGGGTGCGCCATCCCTGCGGAGGGGCTACCCGGGCTGAGCGAAGGAAAGGACACAACGCAGACCACCCCCTTCCCAGCGGATCATTGGCCTCCTCCGTCAGTCTGTGTGCGGGAGTGAGGGTGGGTGCTAGGTCTGAGTCGCGAATTCTCTTCGTCTAGTGTCTGTCCGAGGTTTGAGGACCCCTCTTGTGACAGCCTGAAGGTGGCCACGGGTGACCCAGTGCCCGAGTTTGAATTCCAGCTCCACCAAATTTGGTGACCTTTGACAAGTTACTTCAGAGAGTGCCTCATGTGTCTCGTTTCTAATATGGGGATTATAATAATATCTACCTGAACGTTGTTATGAGAATTACATTAATTAATAGGCATGAAACCTTCCGAACACTCCCCGGCCCAGGGAAAGCCTAGAACGCCATTATCATCACCTCCCTCTTTCAGCTGTCCTACCGGCCCCACGTTACAACCCTTTACCCCCCCCCGCCCCCCCGTTTACCTGCCTCACTGGGGCCTCCTGGGCTGGGGGCCGCTGGGCGAGTCCCTCGGGGCCGGACCGGGGGTTGGGGGCGCTGGAAAGGAGAGGCAGGCTGCGGAGCACTAGGGGTTGCTGCGCACTGGGCCGGGGCAAGGGCGCCCCCTGGGGGCTGCCGCGGGCGTAGCGCAGGCAGGTCTGGGGATGGTCGGGGCTCCACCGGCTGGGTCGCGGCGACCCGGGGTCCCGACCCGCGGGGATAGGCTGGGGGCCGGGCGGAAGTCCCGGCGGGCGGAGCTTGGTACCTGAATGCGCACAGACGAGGCCGAGCCCAGCGGCCAGCGCGGCGCCCAGCACGAAGGCAGCCAACACCAGCGCCACCACGGGCGCGGGCTCCAGGGCCGCGGGGGCCGGGTCGGGAGGCTCGGGGCGCACGGCTCTGCCGGGGACGCCCTTGGATGGCCCTGTGGGAAGTACGACACAGGGACTGGGCCCGGGCCCCAGATGTCCTCCCCACCCCTCGTTCCCCGACCCCTGCGGAGAACTGCGCGCTCACTGGGGGGTGGCCGCGGCACTGTGACCACGATGGGCTGCGTCAGCGTGTGCAGGTGGGCGCTGTCGGCACCCAGGCTCTCGTCGCTGCCGGCGCCCGCGCACGCCTCATCCTGAGGCAGACACTGGGGGAAGGAGGAGGCAAGAGATGGGCAGTCAGGCCCCAGGATTCAGGGACCTGTCCCCGGGGCTCCTGAGAGGTCTACGTGTCCAGCTCTCTATTGCGACCAGGAGTCGCACCGGTGAACTCCTGGAAATCCGACCCCCGAGAGGTCCGTGAGCCCAGCCCCTAAGATGTACAAGCAGCCAGCCACCCAGCCTGTGAGGACTCCAAATTGCAGCCCCTCAAGGTCACACGACCCAGTTCTCTGAGAACCTTAGATACCAGACCGGCCTCTGGGCCGCCTCTGCATCCAGCCACCCAGCCCTGGAGGGACCTCTGAGTTCCGCCCAAGGCATCCCAGAGCAAGCCCGGTGTCCATTCCCTGTCCCCTTGGGGAACCCCTAGGCAGAGCCTCACAGGCCTCCCTCTCCGTCCCTGAGCCCAGCCACCAGCCCGAGACCCAGCGACTCTCCCCAGCTCCGAGGGACCCCCGTCTCCAGCCTCCAAAGCGTCGGACCCCTAGATCCCCAAGCTCCAAGGGGCTCTTCCTTCAGAGGCCGGGGGGGCCTGTGTCCAGGCCTCCCCCCCCCGCCCCGCTCCCCGCGACTGGCCCAGGCGCCCAGATTCCCGGCCGTGCGCTCGCGCACCAGCGATGGCGGTGGCAGCGTCAGAGGCGCCGGTGTCCGGCGGGCTCCCCGGAGGCGGCGGCAGCGGCTCAGCTGGCAGTGCAGGAACTGCACGGAGGCGTTGAAGACCGGGCGCAGGCGGAAGCTGAAGCGCGCGGGCCCGGTAGCACCCGGGCGCGGCGGCGGCGGTGGGAGGACGACCGAGGAGTCGGCGGGGCAGCCCCCGCGGAGTAGCTCCAGGGCGGGCCCCGGGGCCGGGCGCGAGGACGGTGTCACCGAGCAGCGGTGCAGGACCAGGCCCCAGCGCGGAGACGGACGGGCCAGGGCCGCCTAGGGGGCGGGGGCGCGATCAGCAACGGCCGCCCCCCACCCGGCCCGCCGCGGCCCCGGCGCGCCCCGCCTCCACACCTGCACGAACACGCGGCTGTCGGCTGGCACCTCGAGCGGCCCCGCGCGGCGCGGGATGGCGTCCTCCGCGTCCGACAGCTCCAGACTGAAAAGGGGTCGGCGCAGCCAGGGCCCGGGCGCCGCGGGGAATGGGGGCTCTGGCGGGGAGAAAGGGTGACACGAAGCAGGTCGCGCTGCCCCTTAGCCCCTCCAGGCCAGCGGAGCAACCTTCCCGCCTCCTTTGGAAAACGGGTGCTGTTGCGGTGAGGGATTCCCGGGTGCTCGGTGCTGGGCTCCGCGCCGGCTTCACTGCTGGCAGAGTAGGCATGGTACGTCCCCTGAAGGTCCGGGGGCCGCCACAGCCCAGCAGCCGAGGCTGGGAGCTAAGAGCTGCGCGCCTCTGGGGAGGAGCCCCCCTTCCCAGACCTGGATCTCTCCCCCCACAGCGGACCTGGGACTCCCTGGCGGGGCAGGGTTGAAGGGTGCCTGGCCGGGGGCGGGGCGGGGAAGGCGGCCAGGCTGGGTGAGGTCAGCTACCCAAGGGGTCCAGCGCCCGCTTGGGGGAGGGTGCTGCTCCCCCCTTTCCTTTCCAAGGTTACCGTGACCAATGGGGAAGAGGAGAAGGAAGGTGCTGTCTCTCTGCCCCTCTGGCACAGCTGGAGCCCAGCCGGGCCGCCAGGGTCTCCCGCCTCTCCGTTTGTCCAGGTTCCTCACTCCCAGACCGAGCGCAGCAGCAACACAGGGTGGGGACCCACACGCACCCACACCCCCTCTGCCCGAGGGAGGCACTCCGCTGGGATCCTTGTCAAATAATGTTCTCAGGACGGTCCCCACACGTTTCCTAAAAGCATTGGTACACCGCTCTCCCATGGTCACGGGCCTCAGTGTACCTGCTGGGGCCTCTGAAGAAGTTGGGGGTCCAGGAGAAGGATCTGGAGACGGGAGACAGAGGCAGAGCCCACCTGCCCCCCACCCCCCCGTCCCCCCAGGCAGGGCATAGGGGCGGTGGAGCCAAGAAAGGGCGACACGAGGGTGGCAGCCTGATGGGCCGTGTCCCCAGCCTCTACGTACCAGGCGGTCCGCCGGGCAAGGCAGCGGCCCCGGGGAGCAGGGCCAGCAGCAGGAGCGCGGCACCCAGCATGCTGGACCGGCGCCGAAGTGTGCCCCAGGAGTGCAGCCACCCGCCGGATGGCACCCAGGCCCGGCAGGTGAGCAGGCAGCCCTGTCCTTGGCTGAGCGGCCACCCCAGGAGGCGGGGGCGGTGGACTGAGGGGTGTGCATCAGAGCCGGCGCCCAAGGTCTGCCAGGGATTAAGGGCTCCTCTCTGGCCAACCTGTGGCTGGTGGGGTGCTGGGGAGGGAGGTCTGGCACACTGGTCACTTGCAATGCAGCAACTCACTACAAATACCACCCTTCCGGGCCCGGCTGGGCTTCAGTCCCCCCCCCCCCCCCCCCCCCGGTGCAGAGGCCCCATCCCCTGGAATGGCACAGCTCCCCCCGCCCCCCCCAAAGGTCAGGCCTCACAGCCCTTTCCCACCTCTTGCTGCCCCGGCCTGCCAAGCTCAAGACACACCACAGACTCGGTGGAAGAAAAGGGAGGGGTTTTATTCTCAAGCGTCTAAGGATTTACAAACAGGGGCATTTCGTTTTTAAAAAGGGCTGGGGGGAATACTGGCGACCGGGGAAGGGGTGGGCCGGCGGCCTGGGCCACGCCGCCCCAGGCCCCTGCCCGCCCGCCCACCTGCTCCCCCCCTCTGCCTGGTCAAGAAGGATGGCTGGTGACTGGCGACGGAGGAAGAGCACAGGAAAGAGGCAGAGGAGAAGAGATTCCCCCAGAACCCCCCACTTCACGCAGAAGGGGGGCGGGGGCGGGCAGACGCACTCACAAAACAGAAAGTAGTTAAATAAAAATAAATCCAGGTGGCTTGCCCACGGCCTCCACTGGCCCTGGGCCCAGCCACGGAACCTTCCAGCTACCCACAAAGGCCTCGCCTCCCCTCCCCTCCTTGGCAGGGCCAGGTGAGGCAGGGTGGGGGACCAGGCCTATGGGCCCCCCATCCCCTCACAAAGGGGACCCGGGCAAGAGAAGGCGGCCGTTGCCCTCCCGGGCGGGGACACAGAGCGGAGAACTCGAGGACTTTTGAACATGCGGCGTTTTGTGAGTCTGGCGCAGAACGAGAGTCCACAAGACAGACAGGATACAGTGATGCCTAGGCCTAGGCTGCGTCCGCTCCGTCCGGCCAAGTTCCTCACCTTTGGTGTTGGTTGGTTTTGTGGTTCTGTGGGTTTCTGTTTTTGTTTTTTTTGTTTTGTTTTGCTGTCCACTTAATTTGCATGCATCACCAACAAAAAGGAAACACACCCCCTCCCATTCCGGCTGCTGCAGAGGGCGGGGGGCGCACTGGCCAACCCTGGGGGAGTCGAGGGGCGCTCAGGGGCACTCCAAGGGCGTGACTGCCTACACACGCCCAGCCCTCGGCCAGCTCCACCTCTGTCCTGTCACACGTCCTCGAACCCCCACACCCGCCCCCTGCACCCTTGATCCCTGCCTCCCCGGGGCCCCGGGGCCCCGCTCCTGCCACTGACCCCCTCCACCACCTCCCTGCCGCAGCAGCGTCTGCTGCCCTCACCGTGCCCTGCACCTGCCTTCCCTGAAGGCCACCCTGTGTGGCCGCGGCCCCTCGGGCTCCCTCCACGCCCCCTGAGGTCCTCAACTCACCCCCCGCCCCGGGGCTGTGGCCAGTCTCCGGCCCCGAGGGAGGAGGAGCCCCCCAGAGCCCACCTTTGGGGCTCGGCCCCACCCCCCCGGCCCCAGACGCCTGTACCCACAGGCGGTCGGGGGGCTCCACCACAAGCAGCTAAACATGACTTTGGTAAAAGTTTCTGAAGGTACCGACAAACCCCGTGAGAACAAGCTCTTCGCCCCCCCCACCCCAAACACCCCACCAAGTACAATAAAATACAATAAACTCCAAAAAGGACCCCCTGAGATCAAAGAGAGAGAGAGAGAGAGAGAGAGAGAAAGAGAGAGAGAGACCAGCCCAGGCCCAGCTGCAGTCGTAATGCCCAGCCTGCCTTCCTGGGGGAGGACACCAGCTGACGGATTCGCCACTGCCGGAGACCTAGGTGGACCCAGGAGTCCCCCAGGGGGGGCTGGCGAGGGGAGCCCGGGTATGGGCCAGGAGAGAGGCAGAGGCAGGGAGGGAGATGGGGAAAGCCAGAGAGGTAGACAGGGGATGGGAGAGAGGGCGGATGGAGGCAGGGAGCATGTCTGCGGAGGGAAGCAGGAGGCGGAGGGGATGGCACACGGCGAGTGGCGGGGGGGGGGGGGGGGGGGGGAAGGGGCAGGACGGGCGGCTCTCTCCCGGCCCCTGGGGGCCGCCCCAGCCCAGAGGTTACGACTGAATAAATAGCGAGTCTGCTCGTGGCCTGCTGTCTTCCGTTCACAGTGTCTGTCAGGGGGACGCGCACGGCTGGCTGACCCCAGGAGGCCGGCTGACCCCGGGACGGGAAGGGCTGGGGCCTGGCGAGCCCATCTGTCCACGGCTGGTGGGCAGGGGGTTGGGGGTGGGTCGGCACCCCCTACTTTCTGTCCTCAGCCCTCAGCAGCTGTCCAGGTCCCAGGTCTCCCCTGGTGGGCAGCTGGGTGGCCAGGTGGGGAAGGGGGGCCTGTGGCCATGCCCCTGGCCCCCGGTGGGGCTGGCCGCCACCACGTGGCTACCTGAAGAAGGGCAGGTGGTGCTGGCTCAGGACTCCGCTAGTCCTCGGTGACTCAGTCTTCGCCATGACATCCTTGAACCAGGACGCCACATCTACCTCCAGCATCTCGTAGCGCTTGATGAAGCTGTGTTCCTGTGGACCGAGGGGTGGGGCTGAGGACGAGGGAGGTTGCCCCCCGGGGCGGCTGCTCAGCCCCGCCGGGCGGACGTCCCGGTGGGAGGGAGCGGGTAGGGGCCCCAGGTACTCACAAGTAGCTTATTATACTTTGGTCTCTTCCTGTGATCCTTAGTAAGGCTGAAGGAGAAGCAAAGAGAAATAAAAACTGGGGAAGGAGGGGCCTGGCTGCCCTGGGGACTCAAGTGTCCTGGCTCTGAGATGGGGGTCTTCAGAATCTCGGGAAAGGAGCTGCTGTGCGCTCGTGACCCAGGGCTGCTTGCTGAAAAGCCCGAGGACCCAAGGCCTGCACTTGGGAATCCCGCCTGCGACAGAAGCCCAAACTGGATTGTAAGGAGCTTGTGGGAGAGGTGAATGGGGCTCTCCCACGATACAAGCAAACGTAGACACGACACAGGCAGAATTCGGCTTGCGGAGGCTGGACGCACAGACCCCCTGGCACTGGGGCATATCTGCTGTGCACAACCTCCCGCGGCGAAGGGCAGGCTCAGGCCAGGGCCAAACCCGACTCCTAATGCCCAGAGCTCTGGGCCCAGCTCCTGCCCGCATCCCCTCCAAAAAGGACCCCCTGAGATCAAAGAGAGAGCCATGGACAGAGAGAAAGAGAGAGAGAGACCAGCCCAGGCCCAGCTGCAGTCGTAATGCCCAGCCTGCCTTCCTGGGGGAGGACACCAGCTGGCGGATTCGCCACTGCCGGAGACCTAGGTGGACCCAGGAGTCCCCCAGGGGGGGCTGGCGAGGGGAGCCCGGGTATGGGCCAGGAGAGAGGCAGAG